GGCGCAGACGGCCTCCCGGGCGCTCGGGGCCAACGTAAGGCTTGGTCACTACTTTAGGTTTCATCCCACAACTTCATCCAATTTCATCCAATGTCATCCAAATTTCATCCACATGTCATCCACGCTTTTAATTCAACAATTATATTATATTAACCATAGTATCCAAGGTTGGTATTAATATTCAATGCTGTCCCGTAAGTCTTAATTATTTCATTTGGATTATCCGGTTGTGTCCGGATAATTTGATGTCAAATCTGCAAATCCTAGTTTCAAAATTCGATTGTTGGGTGAAACATAAAAACCAACCGTTCAATATCGATGGATTCGTTGCGGACTTGTTCCACACGCCGCTGGGAAATCCCATAGAACCAGTTAATGGAGCTCAGCCATTTTTGAATTATGGGTGCACCGACACAAATAAGGGCCCCTAGGTAAATTTTCCATTATGGATTTCGCACCACTGCTACGTTGTATATGATTACCAATTATTACCATAAAAACTACGATGTAGTAGTCTTGAGCGAGTCTCTGGATGAAGGGGTTTCACATAGTAATGACCTCAAGACTGTCCCTGACGAGCTCATCACGTGCCGACCTGCAGGCCCTCCGCTCCACCGTAGCACACAAGATCCGGTCGAAGATGCTGACCAAGCAGATCGTCGCCGCATGCCCCACCATCCCGCAGCACTCAGACGTCTATCGTTTGGCGTATACGAAGTCCGCTAGCTGTAGGCGCAAAAGATTCCTTAGCTAACGTTAGCTGATAAACGCCAGTAAACAGTACATACAGAACATAATTCCACGGAGTGAGGGCCAAAGCAACCCATGCGTCGAGGCAAAAAAGACAGAAAAAAGATCTCCCCGTCCGGGAATTGAACCCGGGTCACCCGCGTGACAGGCAGGTATACTGACCACTATACTAACGAGGATCCACATACGGAGAGGTATTCTACATAGTACAGTAAGGTTATTATTGGTGGTTGGTGGATGTTATCAAATCTATCGAGCAATTTTATACCCGTTCGATATTACACAAGTACAACGTACTGGTATCCGTAGCAGCCAAACAAAGTTGGTAAAAATGGGTCAAACCCCGAAGTTTCAAAAATCCTGATATGACGACCATACGAAGTTCTGGTAACGTTACTACACTTATCACCGCATCATGAGACGATACAGTCAGTATACCCAATGATTCTCATACTCAGGAATACTAGTACAGTACACATGAATCAATCGTGTAGATACTGACTATGAGCTCTCCATAGCCAATTGTTACGCCTTGAGGTACATGTACAGCAAAGTGGGCTTGGCGATGCCACTAGGATTTCTGTAAAATCGCTCGGCGATGTCATGTGCGCACAATGTTAGGTTAATCAATTCAGGCGCATGGGGAGTTTGGTTGACCGAAATCTTCTGGCGCGTTCTCTTTAGCAACGTCTTTCCCTTTGTCTACCCAGACGCTCCTCTTGAATTTCAACGCGTGTGTAACATGCGCCGCCGTCATGAGGTTTTGCCATCGCGAAAATACAGAAATATACGATCTCACACACATGTCAACTGTACCAACTTGACATGACGTATACAATGTAAAATATGGGTCGGGGGCAAGGGTTGTTGGCGGGCACCATCATGTGAACAACGACGACGACATCATCGTGCTTTTCAACTTTCCACAATTCAATTTCCCTCGTACAGCCCAGACAATGAAATTTGGAACCAACGTAGCCGCGCTACTTTCGATCTTGGCGCTTTGCGTCGATCACACCGAAGGCCATGGGCGTGTGGTGAAGCCCCCCCATCGAGGCTACCTTGGTAGACTCCCGAAGTACTCTGCGTTTGTGCCTGTCAACTACGACGACGATGGACTGAGTGCCGGAGGTCTCGGCGCGACGCGAGGCGGAAAGCATGGCGTTTGTGGTGACCCGTACAACGGAGCGCGGGAGCACGAAACCGGCGGCAAGTACGGGTTGTTCCCCAAGCATGGCAGCAAAGTTATTGCGGCGTGCTACGCCCCTGGGGCGACCGTCGACATCGAAGTGGACATCACGGCCAACCATTGGGGGTACTTTACGTTTGGCTTGTGCAAGTTGGACACGCGAGAGAGTAAAGAAACCGAAGAGTGCTTCCAGTTGCTGGCCCAACCCAACGGCGAAACCAAGTGGCCCGTGCCGTATGGCGCCCCGGGCTCGGACGCCACCGCCAACTTGCAGTACAAACTTCCAGCGAGCGTCACTTGCGAAGGCGAGTCCCATTGTGTGTTGCGCTGGTGGTACACGTCTGGCAACAACCCTGGAGGCGTGAACGAACAAGAACAGTTCTGGAACTGCATTGACATTTACATCGGCAACTCGTGCGGCGCTACTCCCCCGTCGTCGCCCACTGCCGCGCCTGCCACGACGACCTCCAAGGTCCCTGTGACCTACCCCCCTGTCACCACCACGAAGTCTCCTGCCACGACCGTCAAGCCATTTCCTTCATCTTACGCCCCAATTACCCCTGCTACCCCTACGCCTTCGCCATTCACGCGAGGTCCCACGGTGAAGCCAACGGTGCCCCCCCCCGCCGGTACCTGTGGCGGGTGTACCAACTGCTACTACGGCCCCACCAAGGCCTGCTTTAGCGGATGGACCAAGCAAGACTGCTCGACCAACGCTATTTTCACCTGGTGCGGTGCTTAATTGCAAATGATGCCCCGTAGAAGTTGGCATCACAATGTGTGTAAATGGTTGAATATTAATCGATCCTCGAGCGTTCGACGGTGTGTTGTACTGTACGTTCGATACACGACTTTTATGAAGAGGACGGAAGGGAGATTCTGCTATGCGATGTACGTCGAAGTACTACTTATTAATATACTCGATATGGAAGTCAATACCGGGGAGGGACAGGTAGCGTGCCTGATAAAGGACTGGTGATGATTTTATGCAGCGTCGCGAAGTACTTTTGGTGAAGTGGGTAGATGAGATGCATCATCCGACCTAAACAAAGCTCCGATATTCGGAGTATTTCATGTGGTTAGAGTATGAGTACTTACTGGAAAGTACTACTTCCATATGTACGGCGTAGCACTTTACATGTACAGGTGTATTCGTCCATCCTGGCGGGTTGACGCATAGCCAATCAAGTCTTATGTTTTACGAATGGATAACTTGTATCGTATCAATTCCAGTTTGCATCGTGTGAACAGACGACGAGTAGAAAATTCTTCGACTTTTGATGGCACCTGGTCAAATGATGTTCACCTACGGTAATGCCGCACCCACATCATTCGAAAAAACTGGCGAGGTGGACATGAAAGGTGTCAACATGGGGTTCGTACTCTCACAAATCACGTGACACCTTGGTGGCAAGGACTTCACGATGCACCTGTTCAGAAACGTGTCAAAACGCACATGTCGTGACATTTTCTTGGAATGATTCACCAATCACGGCATGTAAAGGCAGGAATCACTGCCATTGTCGCAGTTAACTCGCGAAATGACCGCAGTCACACTGCATCATTCAGGGGGGCCGAGGTCGGCCGACCCCCCGAATGGTCTCAGCGACGAGGCCCCCCCAGCTCATATACAGTTGTTCCTGCTTGGACTTGGATATTACTGTAGCAATCACTGTAACAGTGTTTTTGCGAATATAAGTTGATTCTCCATATTTGAAGATACAATTCCCTCATTAACACTGTAAATCGTTGTGTTTCTCAGAAAACACTACAATATGAGTGTTCACAGCTAACTGTTTACTGTTAACTAGTTATATGGAACTTTGTATGTTCGGACCACCTCACCTCTTACTAGGGGTTAAGTGCATCTCTGTGGTTATCTCCAACGCGGGTCCTTAGCTAACCACTAGCGATGCAGTTAACCCCGGAGATAGCATCGTACTAAGTATGTACTCACCGGGGGGGTAGGACAGAGTCCCAGGTTACGTGGCTACGGGCGAAAAGGTGTATCCGGATGAGATAATTCCCTTACTGACGTGAGGCAGTATTTCGGGTCAAAACAACATTGGAAATGTTCTAATGAGGGAATTATTCTATTTCAAGTTGATCCACCAAAATTCATGAGAGGTACTACTCACTCTAATCTAATATCACACCACTAGAAGTCCATGTTTCAAACTCCGACTATTCGAGTACAGTACTAGTAACGTTACCTCATTTTTCGACAGGATCTCCAAATTTAAGATTTCGTGTGCGACCTATTGCATTGAAGACATAAGTACCTGCTATACCGGTAGACGACTACTTTAATTCTATGGCGCCGTCGATGCATTCGCATTGGACTGTCGAACCAACTCCATGTCAGTAATCTTTGACTAATATGACCAGCTGTTGTTCGACTTGATCTCGTCTATACAAAGCAATGCCATATGCATCACTTTCGTGATAAACAATGCGCGTCGTCTGCTGACACAGGAATCGCATCGGACCATTGAACAGCTAGCGCTAGAACTAGCAAGCGCAGGTTTCTTGTTGGTAGCTGTACTAGTACCTCATTTTCTCTTCTACTACCGGTAGTTCTACAGTCGGACAGTCGTACTGTACAGTCAGTACAGTGCTACAGTACCCTAATGGAACTGACTGAGTATATCGTACCGTAAATATTACTTCGAAGTGCTACGTACAACAGTTGCATTGACTCTACCAGATTGTAAGCGTACAGTTTGCAGTTGTCCGTTCTGATTACTTCAAGTACCATATACAAACTTTTAATAATGTTTTTGGCCGCGGAGCAAACCAGACGACCACCATGTCAAGTGGCTGCCCGTCAACAGACCACCCAACCTACTCAGTGAAATTTCTTGGGCGTCCAACCCTATCAAAACAATACTCCCCCAATCTCTGGTCATTCTCAAACTTTCCATTCAAGGTCATCGTCATCTGCAACCATGAAATTTGCTAGCGCTGTCGCCACCCTTTCGTCGTTGGCTCTGTGGTCACACTCCGTGGAAGGTCACGGCCGTCTGGTATCGCCCCCTCACCGTGGGTACATTGGCAAGCTTCCAGCGTTCCAAGGCTTAGTGCCTGTCAACTACGACGACGATGGCCTCAGTGCTGGCGGCATTGGCGGTACACAAGGGGGCAAGCATGGTGTGTGTGGGGACCCGTACACGGGGGTTCGCGAACACGAAACGGGCGGCAAGTACGGCTTGTTTCCCGTGCACGGCAACCGTGTGATTGGCAAGTGTTATGCCCCCGGTGCCGCTATCGATTTGACCGTCGAAATCACGGCCAACCACTGGGGCCACTTTGAGTTTCAACTGTGCAAACTTGGCACGAAGGACGCCAAGGAAACCGAAGAGTGCTTCCAAAACTTGGTCCAGGCCAATGGCCAAAAGGACTGGGAAGTGCCCCGCGTCGGCAAGGCCACGTTCAACATGCAGTACAAACTGCCCGCCGCCGTGACCTGCGAAGGCGACGCCCACTGTGTCCTGCGGTGGTGGTACATCTCAGGCAACAACCCCGGCGGTCTCAACGCCCAAGAGCAATTCTGGAACTGTGCCGACATTTACATTAGTAACACGTGCGGCGCCCCCGCGCCCCCGACTGCTCTTCCGATCACGTCGACGGCCGCTCCTGTCACGACCGCCAAGCCCACAATCACCACCACCACGGCCCCCCAGCCAACTACCGCTGCCCCCAAGCCCCCGACGGCTGCCCCGGCTACTACGCCTGCCGCTCCCGTAACTACGCCGACTGGCCCTATCACGGCTGGCCCTACGCCGGCCCCCCCCGTTGGCGCGTGCGGTTCTTGCACCAACTGCTACTACGCCCCCACGAACGCGTGCTTCAGCGGATGGACCAAGGAAGTGTGTGCGTCCGTGAGCTCGTTCCAATGGTGCGGTCCTTAGGTTACACCGTCGTTTGAATGGGTCGCGATGTACCAACCAACGGTCGTGAGATATGCGTAACTTTATATGACACGTTTTTTGTCGTGATTACCAAAACTTCTGTTACCACATCACTTTTGATCGCACACTACACAAAAGGAAGTCTGTGATCAGTTGATCAGTGTACCCCCCGATTATCACATGGTATCGACGAACAAACAAGCCTCGCCACCACCACCAACAGCTTTACTTAGCTCCTACTAGGGTACTGTAGTACAAAGTTAGCATGGAATACGATATGGGATCGTCGAATCTCAGAGGCGTTTACTCACATGTACAACGCTATACTGTACCAGTATTGCACATTCACGTGGAAGCGTTGGATTCACAGAGCAAAGTCTGGAACTGTATCAACACTACCGATATTTGTAAATATGACAAATATGTCAGTATTGTGGGAGCTGAGATTCCTGGAACAGTGCAGCAGGAAACTTTGACCTCATGTTGAAGTTGCACCAACCGCTAGGATATGTACCCTAACCTTACCGGTAAATTTCAGAGTTGGAGAAGTAGGCCGTTGACTATGAATGGATACAGTACCACAGTAGTAGTACAGTAGTACTACTACTGTGTACGTTGTACTAGTACTCCGAGTACTAGTATTACTGTACAGAGAACCGAGTAGGAACTCGCGCACAGTGGTATCGACACTATTTTTTTCCATGGAGCATTCATAAATTCCGACGTCAACCAATAGTATTTTTTTCATATTTTCTACTTTAACCAATAGTATGCTCATAAAAAGTTTGTACTCCGGAGTAAATTGTATGATTGGATATAATAAAATTAATCAGATTGATCTGATTGCAAAATTATAATTCGTACTCGGAATCACAACTTGCGCATTCGGATACAATTCCCCATATATTTCAAAATACCACTGTGCGCGAGTTCCTACTCGGTTCTCTGTACATTAGCTGTCGTATAACTGAGTCTGAGCCCACTTCAGGACTAGTATTACTGTAACCCGCTAGGACGGGTGGAGTTGCTCTTACAAATCCCACGGGTGGAGTGGAGTTGCTCATACTCCGGAGTATAATTCCCGGCCAGCAAATGACCAATCACAATCACCCAAGGAAAATGATTGGACAAAATTACGAAGTCTTGTTTCAAATACGAGTACAAGTTACTTACTACTTACTACTAGTACATTTGAGTACTGTACTATTACTACGTGGTATTAATACCATATTAATAACAGGCCACAGTACTATAAATAATACGTGTACTATTAATAGCACTAACTTAGTACGGAGGAGGAGCGGTCGTTCGCACGTCAATCGACAAGGATTTGGTGTGACTAGATAAATAGTGTGTAGAGTTGATATCACTAGAGTTATGAATGGAGTGGTGCTGTCCCCCAATCCGAAAGTAACTACAGTCGAGTATGAAATCCATCACTTAATATAGCTCGAACATTGGGTCATTATTGTGCTGTTATTATTAGTAATTAGTACACCGTAACAATGCCAAATGCACCCAGACACTATCGCCTTCAGAACAGCCCCACTTCTCATTATACTGTACTAGCATGGATTATAGCAGTCTCTCCGTATTTTTGTTCATTGCAGTGTTCGATGGCCGATGCCTTCTTTACAACTTGGACAAGGCTGCGTCTGGTTGTTGCAATAGTTTTAGCAGCGGCTGCAACCGCATGGCCAACTTGATATCACCTCGCAAAGTCAGCTTCTTTCCAGCTATGGCCTATGCCATACCACACACAAAAATACTATTAAACAAACCACTCGAGTCCATCGATAAACGTACTACCAATAAAAATAATCTATCCATTTAAAAAAAATAACAATACTTTAAAGTCTATGGTTATCAAAAACATATTAAAAATACTACAACTCGATCATTTTCATAAAAAATTATCACGAAAGCTTAATCAAATGATCTATCGATTCGAAAGGTACAGCAGTACCTGTTGCAATCGCAGCGTGCCTGCCACAAGATCTAAAAAGTCCTGCTCGGTCATTTCAAGGCTTAAATCAACCGCTGGAATTGACGATGCAGCGGTAGCGGTATCGTCCACGACGACGACGGCGTTGGAGGCCAGCGAAATGGAATACGTAGCTGCGCCAATGGTCCAATGCAGATGGCCGCCCGATTCGCGTAGGGGGGTGCTACGTCTTTCCAGGGTCTGTCGAAGGCGATGGAACACGGCGACCACTGCCGCCGAGTGCGGCGTGTGCAGTGTCGCAGGCGGGTGGTTGACGTTGGTTAGCATCGGGCCAAACGAATCCTATATCCACAACAAGAACCACCCCACCATCATTTTCACATACATACCACTCACTCGGCAAGTTAGTATGTATATCCAACACAAAAAAGCAGTAGTAGTAGTAGTAGTAGTAGTAATAGTAATAGTAGTAGTAGTGGTGGTAGTTTTGCCAACAACACTTCGGTATACCTTATGGATCTGTACCACCCCCGAAAATGTCAGTAACATCTGGTCGAAATGGATACAACTCAATAAGGAAGTCCAAAAGTATCATTCCGTTGGGTTCGGATTGGCCATTTCTCCCCTTTTCGACACTGGTTTGATTGGCTAGAACGAAATATTTGGAGAATTTTGGCCAATATAAAGCGACTTGGGTACAGCTTTCTAAGGTACCACCAAAATCGGCACACAATCGTTCGACCAATCAACATCTACAACACTAATTAAGTGGCGGCTAATGAAAATCCCCACTCTTCGACCAAATTCGTTTAAATTAGTGTAACACTGGACGAATTTTACATACACAAGTCAGTACAAAGAGTGATCGATCGATGGAGTTGGCGAATAATCAGCACAAAAGTCCAAATTTGGGGTAAAAGAAGACAATATTAAAATCAACTAACCTGGGTCGAAGTCGGGTACGTCGGACTTGAAAAGGCCGTTACTTGGTCCCACGAGGTAGCAACCTCTTCGGCAGTTGCGGACAACGGAAACCCGACCCCTTCGGAGCGCTGGAGCCGCAGCTTCCCCACCCAGCCACCCCCCGTCTCAAACACTCCGCCGTTTTCAGAGCTAGCGTTGTGGCACAAGTAGACTACCATCGGCGCCGTGTATTCTGGCTTGAGGCGGCGATACACATTGTCTGGCATGACTAAAGTACCAGTCAAAAATCAGATCGTATTCATAGTGTTGTGTAGAGCTCGTTGGGGTCATTCGTCTGAGATGGGTGGTGGCTACAGTTGTACCTACCGGACTGGGTGAGGGACGTGCCCGCGACGGCTGCGATGGCGTTGATGGCAATCTTGTACTTGCGACCTTCGACACTGAGCGCCTTAGTCAGGCCCCAGATCCCGCTCTTGGTTGTCGCGTAGTTGGCCTAGTAGGTTACGTTGCATGGGATGTACACACGTTGGTTGTCATCGCATGAAAGAGAGCGAGCATGTGGACATCGTCATACTTGTCCAAAGTTTCCGTACAGACCACTGGCGCTCGTGCAGAGGAGGATGCGGCCGTAGTTCTGTTGTCGCATGCTGGACCACACGGCGCGGGTCATGGTGAAGGCGGACGTGAGGTCGTTCTCAAGCACTGCGTCCCATTGGGACCGCGTCATCTTGCGGAAGGCCGCGTCTTGGACCTGGGTGGACGCGTGCACAAGAATGTCTACTCGACCATGCGTGGTGAGGACGTTCTCCACCACTTGGCGACCGGTCTTTTCGTTCGCACAATTCGCCACGACGCACTCCCATTTTGCATCGGACGACGAGGACGCCGGTTTCACCAGCTGAAGAACCCGTGGATCGATGTCGACCAAGACACAAGTCGCGCCTCGTGCATGAAGAGATCTGGCCCATTCCTGCCCGAGACCACCGGCCGCGCCCGTCACCAAAGCTACTTGCCCGTCAAAGCGCAGCATCCCCATGATTCTATGTGCACGCACAAGAGAACGTATCTTCACGAGAGTACCCTCCAACAATGAATAGTATTAAATGTACAAGGGGTGGCAATAATATTAGGGTGCGTCTGGTATCCGGAAATATTGCAATATTTTTTTGGGCCGAATTCAACAAATCTGATCAAAATTGAAACATGTCTTGCTTGACTGTGAAGAGATTTAGGGTGCGTCTGGTAACCGGAAATATTGTATTATTCAGGCCCAAAACGCCATTTTGTGGCCGAATTCAACAAATCTGATCAAAATTGAAACATGTCTTGCTGGAAGAGGTTTAACCCAAATCCAATAATTCCACGTGGGATTTACTCGTTGAAAAGGTCCAAAACGCCATACTGTTACCGGTACAAAATGGACCTTTTACCTCCATTTTGAAAATGGCATTTTGGTTAATCCCATTTTGCGTTAAAAGAGGAATATTGTCAAGTCGGTTCGTAATTGGAGTCGCAGTAGAATCGAATAGACTTGTTCAGCCAATCAAAACGTTTTCGAAAAAGACGTTGCAGATTGAACTCACTGTTCAACAAGATATATTGCAAAGTACGGTTTCACTTTTGGACTGAACAGTCCAAATTTGCGTGAGAAGGACTATATTATTTTTGAAACATTACCAGACGCACCGTTAGCCACCAGCATTTGACACTTTTTAAGCTTGTACAAACTATATGTTACAATATTTAGTATATATCACCATCATGTTTTCCCCAAGTGTTTGATAGATACAGGTCCATACAGTAGTACTGACCAACCCAAAACTGCTGAAGGCGGCTACTATCATAACTTCGTGTCCTTGGACACATGTCAGTCGGTACGGTATGGAGTGTATTGATGATGGCAACCGATCGTCGTCGCCGGCTTTGTCAATAACCGGTAACCTTACAGAGTGGTACTCCGGCGTACTATAGTAGTGTACACGTATGGGAATAGTTCCGCGACACTTTTTGGGACCCAACGATGGAATTTACGAAGTAAAATTAGTGATAAGGTAATTGGTTGAAGATGTAAAAGCTCGGTAGTTTTTTACCATGGAACCACGTTGGTACAGTACAACTACTATTAATAGTACGTACTTCGAGGTACTATGTACTACGTAGTATTACTAGTATTGTCAAATCGATTCGAATTTGGAGTATTCAATCGATTGAGCAGCACCAAATCGGCAGATAATCGATTGACCAATCAACACCCAGGTCGCAAATTGAGTAGCCAATCATATCCACTCTTTGACCAATGAAAATCGAGTTAGTGTGTGACTACAATTAGTGTGACAATTGACGATTTTTTTTCATACAGTTTCGATCGATCGATAGATTTGGCGAATCAGCACAAACATCCAAATTTTGGGTAAACGGACAATAATACGTATCCCGTTTCGTCGTGCACAAGCGTCTGCCCGATTAATAGTACCAGTACACTGTCTAACACGAGTCCACTTCAAAAGGATGGCTCGTGTTAGACTCGTTGACACCACAGCAACGCCGGATACACAAAACGATCTGATATGGGACCGCCACAGGATGATCAAACTCGTAATGCTTACTCCGGAGTAGTACTTAGCATGAGTGTGGTCACTGTCAAGTACTAAAGCGCATAGTACCGATAGGACTAGTAGTATACTAGTAGTACGTAAGCTTCCTATTAATAGTACTCTGGAGTACTAGTACGTAGTAAGGCTTCAAGACGACCGATTGTTGGACTTTGACAATGTTGAGACATGTTCGAGGACATCTTTACTATATAATGCACTGTATGTGAGCCCTGGTTGCATATCTGCGACAGAAGCCAATGAGTTGGCGACAATTCACACCAAGGATGGGAAGCCATAGAAACACATCATTTGACTCAAAAGTATTACTTGTATTAATACATACTACTACGTGTAGAGTACCATATAAATTCGTAGTAAAAGGGTTCAAAACGTCTTGTTATATTTTGGCGAACAAATCCTTTGTTAACGTTACAGTTATTAAAAAAATTATAGGTGCACAATCCTCCTACTTGGAAGTAAATATACAGTAGTTAGTACTCTTAATAGTTAGTCAAAATGCATTTCCAGAGGTACGTGGATCCGGATACAACAAACCAAATCATCATTTGCCGACTTTCTGCCTACGACGACATGTCCTTTGCTCACCGGTTGAACACGTTCAAGACCCTCGGCACCCGCGATTCGTCCGCATCCACTTCGTCGTCATCTGTCGTGCAGACACGTCCGGGTGGTCCCGGGCGGCGCGTGGCGTCGGTGTTGGACAAGTCCAAGCCGAGTGTGATCGACGTCACGTGTCCGACGACTGAAGTCGAGTGGGAAGGGTACTTGTACAAGCAGTCCAAGATCGTCAAGACATGGACGCCGCGGTACGTGACGCTCAAAGACGGGTTGATCAGCTACTACAAGAGCAAGAAGCACGCCGTGGAGCGCACGCAGAACCGCGGGTCGTGGTCCGTGTCGGCTGTCCAGAAAACGATCCCGTCCACGGGTTTTGGTGGGTCCAAACTGCATGCGTCGACGTTGGGCTTTAGCATCGTCACAACGAACCAACTGCTCGTGCACTTTGTGGCCATCAGTCCCGCCGAGCGAGGTAACTACCCCAACCGACCGACCGACCGACCGATTCAACTCACCTGCCACGACTAGAAATGTGGCTGCACATGCTCGAAAAGTGCTGTGCTGCGGCCAAAGTCCAGACGAATGTTGCCGAGGGGCTCGACGAAGCCAGCCGACCGAGCGAGAGCTACTTCCATTTGGACCCATCCGAGGCGTCTGTGATGCTGTACTGTACGTCGTCCTCTTCTTACCATCCTATCATCTGTGATGTCGTCATTGTATGTCCATATTTTTGTCATGTAAGAAGCCAAACAAATGTACATGTTTACGTGCCAAGTTGCCAAATCCATCGATCGATATTGTTGTTTGTACCGAGTTTTGTATGTAAACAAAACCTCCACGTGCAGTATATAAAACGCCACACACGTCTTTCATGTTGAAGGGTGGTTGACGAACGAATTTGATTGGCCACTTGATCTGGGGTGTTTGATTGGTCGATCGATTGAGTATGCTCGCTCATACATACATATCCGACTCCCCGTTTCAATTGAAACAGTATCGCATCCAGCCTTGTTGGCTGTATAGTGGTCTGGCATGTATTTATAATAGTATGTTGTTTATCGAGAAAACGATCGAATTTTCACATGTGACCAAGTAGTTATACGTATTGTGCATTTCACCCAAATTTGGACTTTTGAAGCATTTCGCCAAATAGCATTCGAATCCATTTGATGAGATTTCATCTTGTACACGATATAACGATTAGTATATATGTGGTTTTGCCCAAGAATGGGGTCAAACGTTTGGATTGGCAGAAATTCGACATGATGTGATTTGATTGACTCAGGTGGTTCTTTACTCGATTCTCCAAAGACATTTGATACTGCTGAGAGCTCCAGTTTCGAATCGATTTGACAATGTATATTATTACCCGTATGACGTTACTACTCGCCACGAGGTTCATTTGTGTGGGCTGTGTGGGCTGCATGTGGTGGCCGAGCCATCCTTTTTTTTTTTTATCGCTGAGTTGCCCACCCTAGGTGTTTGTTCAAACAGACTTTTTATATGGCAATATCTTGGGGTGTTGCTCCGTTTTTTGCTGGGAATGAACGTATCATGTGGCCTATAGTATGTTGTGGTTTGATATCTTTCGTATGCTTTGTTGTGTTGTTGATGTGATTTCATGCTTTGTGCACGATTATATGTGTCTTTCATTCTATTATGATACCACCACCAATAGAAATAAAACATATTATTATATTTTGACTTTTTCAGATTTAATTGCATGTGTATAAATATAGCATGCACCAAAACAATTTTATATATTTTTTGAAAATTGGCCAAACGTATTTTGTTTGATCTAGCGTTCTCGTTGTCGTGTTGTCTGAAGCAATTTCCATATTTTCGTGCATACACGATGAAATATTTGGTGCCACCCCCCACTTCCCCTAAAACAAAAATTTCAAGAAATATATATTTATATTTTTATCTATTCCTTCGATTTCGATTGTTTCTCAACATTTCGTTCTACGTATATCTATCTAGATTTAACATATATATATAATACAATTGTGTAGCCAAGTTTATTCGCGTGTTGAGCGACGTGGGGGTGCCAGACCTGATGACGGCGCTGCCGGTTTTCGTTCAGCATTTGAGCCAAGACGTCGAACTCAAGTTCAATTTTGATCCGTTCGACGCGGCCAAGTACGCGTTTTGCCATGGCGTGTACTACGCGCGCGAGGGGTTCGTGCACTTTGTATCGCTGTTCCGGCAGTGTTTTGCACTTGTGGAAGCTTCGACGCTGCCGACTCTGACGGCCAAAGACCCAGAGATCATCGAACTCGTGGCGCCGCAGCAGCTCACGCGCCTCAGCTCCAAGGAAGCCGCCATGCCGGGGCGGCTTCATGTGCGCTTCAATTTTTCGCCTTCTGGACGGATTTCCAGGCTCAGTGTGTACTTCAAACAAGACAAGTCGCTTGCCCCAGTGCCCACCGCCTGCGTTCGTACGTTGTTGTTGATGCTTTCACATTGTGTGGTGTTTGTTGCTTGGGTGGTGGAAAGAGGTTGCAGAAATGGAGGTTTTGAGTGAGTGTGCTCTTGTTTATATATATATAGATATATAATTGCATTTTGGGGGAAATGTGAACGTGTGCCTACATATGGTTATACCAGTGATGCCATTATATATACATTGTAGAATCGTGTACATGTTTAAGTGTGTTATGCCGTTGAAACGATAAAGAATGAATATATACAACATTTATATTAATTATCCTTTCAGTCAAATTTGGACTTTTGTACTGATTGGCCAAATTCATCGATCGATGTTTTGTACTGATTTTTATATGCACACAAGTGTCCAGGGGTGATCCCATCACTCGAATTTAATTCACACACTAATAATTGGTTGATCTGATGTTTTCCTGCAGTCTGATTGGCTAAATTCTACTGCCGATGCTTGTGCACATGTGGTTGTATGTCGACACATTTGTCGCTACATACAACAATATATATATATATTGGGAGATAAATTCTTTTACGACATATATGTGTGTAGGAAGCCGCACGTTGTACACGCTCGCGTCGCATCCGCAGAACTTCCACTTGTGTTATAAAACCAAGCGGTCGTTGCTGCTGAGTTTCCGTGATCTCAACATCCTCGGTGTGCTCGGCCAAGGTTTGTGTTATTGCATCAACAGATGGATTGATCCTTGGACTGTATGTCTATTGCTTCGATCGCTTTTATTATATATATGTATGCATTTATGGATTTAAATATATATTAGGAGGCTTTGGGACGGTGGTACTGGTACAGCGAAAGTCACTGCACGACGAATTGTTTGCCATTAAAGTGGTCGAGAAGAGCCAAGGGAGCGCGAGTGCCCTGAAAGAGCGACGGATTCTGTCCACGTTGCGCCACCCGGTATGTATATGTGTTTTGTGTCAAGTCTAGGTGTGATTTATATTTGTCTAGGTGTGTTTTGTATTTGTCTAGGTGTGTATTGAGTATTGTCTAAGTGTGTTTTGAGTATTGTCTAGGTGTGCTTTGTATTTATCTAGGTGTGTTTTATATTTGTCTAGGTGTGTTTTATATTTGTCTAGGTGTGTTTTATATTTGTCTAGGTGTGTTTTGTATTTGTCCATGTGTGTTTTTCATGTATCTAGAGTTAACGGATAGTAGAATTTACACCTAACAAGGGATGCAATGGGGATAACTATTTGTGTGTGTGTGCAATCGATATTGTCATTCTTTCCGCCGAAAATTAGACTTTTGAGGCTCATCATATACGACCTATATGTGTCTGGGTAACTAGTTTTTGGCGCGGTTGCGGTTTGCATTCCAAACAAAGTCCAAGTTGTTTTTGGGGCTCGACTTTTACACGGGGGGGAATTTGTACTACCATATGCACGCAGCGACCATGGCGGATGGCACACACGTGGAAACGAGCGGCGGCAAACGGTACCGCTCTATCTCTCTCTATATAATATGTCTAGTGTTTGTGATCGATATGGCCAGTGTCTGGTGAATATATATATATATATATTGTGGATTCGGTACAAGTTTCCAGACCCCGTCAAATCGAATGATATCGCCGCCGAATCGACTATTCACGAATCGACGCGATTGGCTCATCCAATTTGTTTGAGTGGATTTGATTGGCTCGTACAGAAAGTACAAGTATATTCAGCCAATCAGAAAACTTCCAGCGGGATGATTCAATATTGATTCGACAAAACTACGCGAATTTTGGACGTTTATAGCGAATTCACAATATATATTGTCGTTCTTTTACCCAACATTTATTTGGACTTTGATGCTGATTTGCCAAATATCCATCACAACAATATATATATATATATGCTAGTGGGACACATTGTGTCGAACGCTATTGTTGTGGGGCTTTATTTCCAAATATATATATATATTTACGATTTGAATGTGGCTATAGCCTGGCGGTGGAGCGCGCGCGATTTTATGCCGCAGAACTCGCGCTTGCATTTGCATATTTGCACACCCACGGCATCATCTATCGCGACTTGAAGCCAGACAACATCATGCTGGACCAGGAAGGGCACATTCGGTTGGTAGACTTTGGCATTTCCAAGCAGTTGTTCCAGGAGGAGTCGACTGGCACGTTGGCTGGGTCGCCTGCGTACATTGCACCCGAGGTACTTTTTAGGTGTTATTATTCACCTAAACCTTGGATTTGTGTGCAGATTCGCCAAATCTATCGATCAATTATTATTTGTACTGACTTTTGCATGTAAAAATGGAGTCACACACTAATTTGGTCCAAGAGTGGATGATTTGATTGGCTACTGGGTTCGTGTTCTGGGATTTGATTGGTCGTATATCGATTGTCAGCAGATTTGGTGATTCTGCTCATTCGATTGAGACAGCACCCCACTCGAATTTCGAATCGACTTGACTATAATATACTATGATGATTTTCACCCAAATTTGGACTTTTGAGTCATTTCTTGCCAAGTTGCGTCGTACGAGTCGATTTGATCCAGTTGAAGCTTGTGCAAACTACTACAGTATACTTTACCAAATGTAGTAGTATACCCTGATTTGCCAAATGTGGATGCACTGGGCTGACGTTTGGATTGGCCGAAATTCGAAACATCACGTGATTTGATTGGCTCAAGTCATTCATTCTCGTACGATGTTTTGAGCGCTCCAGTTTCGAATGGATTTGACAATACTATGACACGTGGGTGTTTCTATAGAATGGTATATGGTTTACTTTTACGGCAACGTTTCGAAGAAATATGTCACGATTTGTGCAGTTTGGAATCGCTCATCGTTTGTATTAATTGGTTGAAATGATTCCCGTGTGGTGGTTTTGATTGGTCGAAAGGAAGCTTGTTGATCGGTTTGGTCGTTTGGTCGTTTGATTGACTAGTTGGTCCCTTGCTAGTATTTTTGTCAATATAATTAGTCGAAAAATCGAATTGTGAGGCAGATTGTTAGCTTGGTCAATGTATAGTATTTATTATATACATTTATTGGTGTACGTACCATTTTGTCTCGGCCGAGACTATGGGGATCGATCGATATACGTGGTTAAAATGTCTTTTTTAACGATGTCATCATGCATTCGAAAATGAATATCTAACATATTACATTTGACAAATCCGTTCGATTTATAACTTGGTTCAGAAAGATTCCACAATGCAATTTTGGATTGGCATTCTAACATGAGAAAAACATATGTAAGTATTATTGTGCTTTCGAGTGAAATGTCATTGTGTTGTGGTTTCTCGTTGGAATTTAAATCGATTTGATTGGCTACTTCAGAAGAGCTCAAAATTATTAGCCAATCAAAACGTTCTCAATGAAATTCAACAACCAATCAGATCGATTGTGGATCGGTTTGGTCGATTGCACCCCGTCCCCAAATTTGTATATATCAAATCGATAATATTTGACAATTTTGATTCATTCGATATGGCAATATGTGTGTGTAGCAACTGAACGTGCAAAACCCATTGTACGGGTACGCGGCGGACTGGTGGAGCTGGGGCGTGATGCTGTATGAGATGCTGTACGGATCCACGCCATTCCACGACAATAACGTGTCGGTTATGTACCGCAACATCACGGACGCCGACATCAAGTATGTACTTTGTAGTGCATTTCATCCAAATTTCGAGACTTGGGGCATCTATTGGATCGTATTTAATCTTGTACACACTATACTATATAACGATTAGTATATATGTGGTTTTGCCCAATACAAAGGGGTCAAACGTTTGGATTGGCAGAAATTCGACATGACGTGATTTGATTGGCTCAGGTGGTTCTTCTTGAATCGATTCTCCAAAGACATTCGATTCTGCTGGCGGCTGCTCCAGTTTCGAATCGATTTGACAATATATGTATGATAGTATTGGGTCAAAGTGTGAGATTGTTGTCCTGTTCGCTGATATTTGGACTGGGCTGCCAAACACTTCTAGTGATCGATGATTGGGTCATGAGCATTCATACATGCACTAGTTTGCCGCCGGTCATTCTACTGGTTTCAAACAATCGTGCACGACTACTACTGATCATGATCATATAAACCAACCACCACGATGATGGCGTAGGTACGACAATCACTTTGATTTGGACGAGGAGGCCGTGGACTTGCTCCAACATGTGCTGGTGCGGGATCCTGCCACCCGCTTGACCTTTGCCCAGATCCAGGCGCATCCGTTCTTTGCGTCGGTGGATTGGGTGCTGCTTCTCCAAAAGCAAGTGCCGCCGCCGTACGTCCCCATGACCCGCGACGTGTTTGATCACGTGGCGCAGCATTTTCGTAAAATGAACGTCAACTCCCTCGACGATACACCGACGATTGGAGTAATGTCGTCGACGTCTACGAAAGAATCGGACCAGCAGCACTTTGACGAGTTTAGCTTTTGCTACGAACGACCGGTACAGTTTGTATAGCCGTGGTTGGACGGGGTTGAGGGATATATATATGTCAATAAATAGATCCTACCAACCCATGAAAATGATTCTGTATTATTTTGATTTATTCCTATATTTTGTATTTTTTGTAATAAATATCACTCAACTTGTCAAAGTGAGATAGTATTTGTGGTAATGTAGATGATTGAAATGAAGGGTGGTGGTTGACGTGTATTGGGGTAGGATGTGCGGGACGAAGCGTACGATTTGATGATCCAAGTCAAGGAGACGTTTGCCAACGACGCGCGGCCCGCCATCTCGACCGTGCTCGAGCACCAAACATCCGAAGAAATTCTCGACGATGACAACGACATGGACCCGGAAGTGGACTTGGTCATTTCTGAACTCTCGGACATTCCCACGTCGGAACAGGATGAAGCATCTGGGGACCACGACGACGAGTGAGTCTACCGCCGATACATACTAGGAATACATGGGGTCTCGTAAACAGTGTAAGAGGGGTTGACGTATATACAAGTACTGTTCGCTACGGATTGTATTACCGTGTTCAGAGGCAAAATGGTTCCCTGTCAGGAAATGATAAGGTCTATGGTGAACGTCGATCGATATACAGTACTTTCGGGCGTGTGCGTTGTTTTACTTGACAGCGCGAACATATTAATAGTAAGCTTAGTATATCAGTGGTGTCGGTGAAAACCTGCGAAAGTACATGACGCTACCGGATATTGTTTACATTCACGTAGTTTATCCGGTCAAATTTATCTACAATCAGAGGCACGACTAAAGGCGGCAATGACTCTAATAAGAGTGGTCGATGTGCTAGATGAGCGCAATCTCACTGTGCCTGGAACGGCTCTCCTCTGTTTAATCCCCCGCAAGCTATATACTGTACAGTACTAGTAATCCAATATAGTTTCTGATTAACTGTAAAACGTATGAGACAACAACAAACAACACTATATGCGAGGGCCAACAACACTATATGCGACGGCCAATCAAGAACTCCCAATCGAATGGACGTAACAGTTTCCGGGTAAGTTATCCGGATTTAGCCTCATCAACCATGTCACCATTGCGAAAATGTCGAGCCAGTGCAGCAATTACATGAGAAAGTGGTTTTACAAGATCGACGACAGCGTGGCATGTGACAAGACGTGACAGCACTCCAACGATGGGTTCGAGACACATGTTGTGTATGTCCATAAGTTGGAGTGGGTCCACAACGGCCGTGAAACATTTGGAGTGAAGATCGATGCTCCGCCACTCGAGGACGCTCCATCCAACGAGGATGATGCCGTGTATGCCGATAGTATTTGTCGGCATGACTGCGTAGCGAAGGCGACTATTTTGTTGACGATGCAAATAGGTCGCAAAGTTGGCGTTGACCCATACGAAGTGCTTAGTGCTGTAGTCGTGGACGCACCATTCAACGTGCTAGTGTAGTGCAACCAATCACGGTAGAGCGTGTCGTGATTCCTACTGATGAAGTCCGTTGCTAGTGTAGTGCAACCAATCACGGTAGAGCGTGTCGTGATTCCTACTGATGAAGTCCGCCGTAGTGCTCGCCGCCGCCGTCGAAACTAAATCTAAGACTTCTGATTATTTGCATTCCATGGTATTTACAAGATGACATAAATCGATGTACCATAGCTTTGTGGATACTATACACACAGGGCTATTAATAATTGCTGTATGTATTAATACCTACCACTCTGGTCCATGAAAAGAGTCCCATTTGCTTCAGTGTGACGCCATTCGTGTGTTTTTTTAGTTTAATGGATGTGATTGGTGCATTTGAAAGCCAGAGATCTCGTCTTTGATTGGCTAGTCGACGTTTCTCTGAACTCGTTTTGGTGTTGGAGATACAAGCGTGACAGTGTGCAACGTCATTTGTTTAGAGAAAATCACCCGCTGAGCGTTCAATATCACTTCAATCTGATGTACTCGAAGCTCTAAAGACTTGTCTAGCCTACACAGAGCAGCCACACGTGCTTGCGAGCACCAAAGACTTTACTGTGAGCTAGTTGCGCCTTGTGTCGTTGTGCTAGTGTCAATCACCACACCATGCCGATACAAATGCCAGGACGACCCTATCCAAGGTTTGCTCCCTGATATAGCACGCAACAGTATAGAGCTACAGTTTATCTATTGAAGTTGTCCGTTCATTCGGCGTGTGCACAGACTTACAGCTCTCTCTCCATGGCCGGCGGCTGATTTTGGGGTATACACCTAACCTCTATGTATCAATAAGATTATGTATTTATAGAGTTATTTTCTCAGAACTTTGCCAATTTCCATAATTTAAACAAGTCAAAACAAATGGGACTCTTTTCATGGACCAGAGTAGTATACGAACTAAAGGATATAGTCCATATAGATACACTATATAGTCTACATAGTGTATATAGTGTATCTGTATAGACCGTATCATATAAGTATACAGCCCATATCGTATATATATACTATATAGTTCACCTATATAGTCGATAAAAGTCCTGTTTACGGCTAATATCCGCATAGCCTTGACGATGTCGATGCATGTCGTTATATCCACCAACTCATTTTCACTTTTGCGTACATCGATCGAGCGAATGGAGCATGCTAATGACACCGTCTATCACCCACCGTATGAGGACGATCCTCTGGACCAAGTAACTATGGACGGTGTTCCGGTGAATGTGGTGTTGCATGACATGGTGGACGTGGCCGACGCTTCGTGGCATTTGGTGTGTGCAGATGAAGAGACGTGTATCCGCTGGTGCATGGAAATCAGCCTGTTAGCCGAGTCCATGTCATGCCCCCAGTGTTTAGGTGCTATGAGTTTTGCTATGAACACCAAGCGCTGGTGGTGCCACCGTAGGGCCTGCGAAGGCGGTGGACATATCGAGCTTGGAATGCGATTCAAGTCCTGGTTCCAAGGTACCAGAATCCCAATGACGAAATTGGTACGTCTGTTGTTTGCGTGGGCATCAAGAATGCCGCTGGGTGTCGTCATCGCGGAAGAAGAAATCTCCATCGAGGCTGGCGTGGATTGGTACAACTATTGTCGCGAGCTCTGTTCCAGTGAAGTGCTGCGGTGGCCTATGGTGGTAGGGCCATCACTATATACACCTATATCGCTACTATATAGATCTGTACGTATATAGGTATATACGTATATGCGTCTATATCGAGATAGGTCTATATCGTTCACATCAAGTCGTTTATGAAAGGTCGGTGGTAGCGGCATCACCGTTGAGATCGATGAGACTTCCATGAAAAAGAAGAGTAAATACACCGGTGGACGCCACTACCCTGAGTACTGGATATTTGGTGGAGTCGATCGGAGCACGAAGAAATGATTCGGTGTTGTCACTGGTGCGGACCGAACCAGGCCGGCTCTGTCCTATTTGAACAAGAAGCACATTGCACCTGGGTCCCATATCATGTAAGACACTATATAATGCTATATTGTTGGCATCCGCATATAGTTGTTGTCGTAGTTATGAACGTTTTAAACAGGAACTATATTGGATTATATAGCTTGCGGGGGATTAAGCAGGGGAGAGTCCTATGAACACCCGGTAGCGGCGCCAGCCATTCCCTTGTGCATCGTCGGTTCATCCTGCGGCCTCATCACGCGGCTCGACTAAATAACCGACAGCACGGTGGTGGTGGACAACGGCATCCATGGTATCGGCACTTTCCCACCTCGGCGGCCCTGTACGTACGCATACTGATATCACGGAGACCCTTCCGAAGTTGTGTGTGTTTGTGTTTGACGCAGAAACATCCGCAACTGCGACTCGGCCTTCATGACCAAAGACATTGCGCTGGGGTCGTCCCAGCTGCAGAATCTGTACGTCCGCCAGTCAAACCTAGGATTGTCATTTTACCCCAAATTTAGGCCAAATCGTTCACTCGATCGGTTCTTTGTACTGAATTGTTTTGTATGGAATTCACATACGAATTCGACGTTTTGAATGGTTTCCTGTAATCGGATTGGCTCAATTCTTCTACGTTTGATTCCTGTGTACGTTGAAGGATATCCTCGTCGTCCATGTCCCCCCAGTTTACAACATATTCATTTGTATAATAACAGTGATCTCAACCCTACCGCACTCGATTAGGTCCATCACAAACTGCAACCTCGGCATGAATGCATAGTTCAGAACCTCTAGCAAGACGACTCGATGGCCCCCGTTCCTCAAGACATTGTTGGTGTCTTGTGTACTATCCGAGTTTAATGGGTCCTCCTAATCATTCGTTGGCCAGGCATCTAGACAACACTACCGCCAAGTACCACTACTTGACAGCGTTCCCGCCGACCCACACAGAACTGTACGAAAATCAAAACATAAAACGACAAGATTTTTTTGGACCAATCAAAACACTCTATTTTTATCAATGGACCAATCAAATTCCAAGACACCTCGTCGTCTGCGCCTCTCACCAATCAGGATACGTGAACTTTGTAACCTATTGTAGTTTCTATACTCATTTACTTTGTTGCGGTTTTAGAAATCGAACTTGATAAGTAATTACTATTACGTATTGTAGGACGTTGCACCAGCATTATCGTGGGAGTTACACCCTTGATCGATCGCTGTTGCCGCCCAAGAACCTTAAAATCTTGTACTTTAGACCTTGTCTAGACAAAATACAAAGAGTTCCACTACGGTATGAAGTATAGTGGTTTTCGGATTGTATGTGATTTTGTATGTAGATGTGTGTAAAAATGTAAAATGGTACAACCGGGTGGGGATTCGAACCCGAGTCTCACGCTTTGCAATCCGACACTCTGACCATTGCGCCACAGCGCCAGTAGACAAAAATACCTTGAACCATCAAACCAATTATTATAAAATACGTGGCTGAAAATGCAGCTGCTGCTGTGTGGTTGGCTACAATTATTCTCGAATTTCGAAGTTCTTACGCCAATCATATTACGATTTCATGCTAAATTCGAAGTGCCAAGTGCCCCTTAAAATCCCTCGTCGTCTGTATAGCAACGGAATGTACCTTGCCGTAGGGACTTGTCTCAAAACAACCTCGAATACCTCCATAACGTCAACTTGACGTTTCTGCAGCGACTGTGCGTATCCTCTTATAAATGATAACCCTCCAGACATTATATATTTGGACATAGTTCTTATGAATGCGAGTGGCTGCGTTTTGGTTGTGTTACAATATCATTGTTTTCTTCTTTTATATGATTGAATGATATTCGATTGGCTCCTCGATTTAATTGTCTAAAATAATACTTCGAAGTATTGTCCTATTCACTTGACTTGATTGGACAATCGATGGGCGTCATGTTTTAAGCTTATTCAACGTATGGTATACATATCTATGATTTTGTGCTTTGCCTGGTCCAAACTGCTGATCTATGCTGATCGTTTATACTAGGTCACCAAATCAAAAACAAATAGATTTCCTGAAAGACAAGGTTGTTTGCAAAGGACTCCAGCCATTGCTGTATTTGAGCCATATTAACGAGAGATTGAGTCGTTTCGTTAACAGATCTCGTTTTGACGAAAGACAGGGTATCTGATTAAAGATGCACACATAAACTAATTCACCCAGGTATTGATCAAAACGAAGTCATTGATCAAAAACTCGGATGACTACCAAATTTATATAAATATTTAATTTAGACTTGTTGTTTGTATACAAATATCAAGTTTAATGTGGTACTTCAATTAACGACGACCACTCGGCGACATGAATGGCGCACGCGCTGCAAAGGAAGACCGCAACATGTCAGTGGCCAGCCGTTCAGCGCGTCTTTGAGCGTAGCGCCGTTGGGTCGCGGCTCGGGCGGTCCTCTTCTCTTCCGCCATACGCGCATACCGAGCCAGTACCGAACGGTACTGGTGTTGGTCATCCTCGCGCAGCGGCATGAGGCCAAGGTGGAAGTTGGTGAGCGCAAAGGTAAGACGTTGAATTCCGTCGAAGAACTTGTGATCCCAAACGTACGTACTGAGTGATATC